TAATTAGTAAGGCATCCTTGTTTTAAATGAGTGTAAATCTAAACTGAAACATTATCTCTGATACATGTATATGCCTGGCTAGGTGTATATGTATGTACACACGTGTGAACGTATACATATGAATATAATAAAAAAATCTCTGATTAAACTAAATTTAAAAAGTGACTCTAATACATACACACACATAAATATATATATATATATATATATATATATATATATATATTGTTATGTATGTATGTGTCTGAACGTGTATATATGAGTGGACACGTATATAAGTGTGTACAAGTATATATATATATATATATAATATTTTATATATGTATATATGTGTACGAGTATACAGGAAAAGTGTCTGATGTGTGTATGTGTATGAGGTGTATAGACACGGGTATATATTGGTGGTTATGTATATGCGTACATGTATGTACAATATACAAAAAAGACTATAATATATGCATATATATGTATGGACACACGTGCGCATATATATATATATATATATTTAACGTTCTTTTTTATAGATACAAGTATTTAAGTAAATGCTCTGTTTAAAATAAACAGTATTAAATAACCTTTACCGGCCTGAATGTCCGAGAAATTTGACAGGTTTCGAACCTGCATCCTATACGGAACCGTCATTTACGCTGACGTGCCTAACCTCTCGGCCACAAAGGAGCGTTCGGTAGACAAGGTCGAATTTACTGCTTATAAACTTCAATCTTCCATGAATCTCGTACATTCATAACTGCTCTGGCGTATCAAATGTAAACAAATGACGTCATATATTAAAAATGGACAAAAGTCCGACAATTTTTTTATAGATACATTTAAATACTTGTATCTAAAAAAAGAACGTTAGAAACATAAAAAATGTCTTTATAAAAATAAATTGTCGGACTTTTGTCCATTTTTAATATATATATATATATATATATATATATATATATATATATATATATATATATATATGACTATAACAAAAAAAATCACCGATTAAAAAATTCAACAATATCAAACATTTTTAATATAGATAATGGACATTGGAAGATAAAAAGCTAAGGTAATTTAATTTGATTTATGATTTCCACTTATCATCCAAAGCATTTTCTTTGCACACAGTTTTGTCTTTCTTTTATTCAAAACTAATGAAGCCAAGAGAACATATTCTCTCCAATGAAACATGTTGTTAATATATTTTCGACTTTATCTTCACTTTTATTTTAGGTACTATTATACATCCTTCAAACAGACATATAGCAATGTATACCTACATAGTTTTTTTATATGGTTATTTGGATACATATACCTGTTGGCTATTTATATGTGTGGTCTTCAATAGGCTCAATGCTTAATGAGGAGCAAATCATTTATATTAAAAAATAAAGATATTTTTCAAATTATATTTATATACATAAAATTTAATTTCGGTCGAACACTTTGGAGACAAAGGGTGGATTTGTAAACAGTGACTACTACCGCTGATTATGCAAAGTTCTTCCTTAAATTGAGCCCTCTATGTCAATGGCGTGTTTATTCAAAAGAATAAATACGCAAAAATTCACCTTCCCTCTAACGGGCACTGATAAGTTAGTGGTAAAATCTCCGACTGATATCAAATCAGTTAGGTTTCGATCCTGTCCTGAGTCAGTCGGATGTCTAGCTGCACTGATGAACTGAGTTATAGCGAAACAATCTGTCAGTGGCTGACAACACATGTATGTATATTATTATATATATCTAAAGAAATATTTTATTTTAATTGCTCAATTCCGAGTCTCATTATGTCTTAGTATACAATCGCTCGCTCGCATACCTACCTATATTTACCTATCCGGTTAATACATACGTACATACACACGCACACATATATTGTTGTACATATTTATAAAGAAGAACCAGGATGGCATTGGTTTATCAAGGATTTTAAATTTGAGAACATTCATTAATATTCGACAGAATGCTGAAAAATTTGTCAAAAACTGTGGAGTACAAAATTTGGTAAGATAAAATAAGCGAGTAATATTCAGAAAATATATTTTCATTAAATAAATTAATATTATTAAAATTGTGGTCAGATTTTAATGGTTTCATATATATATATATATATATATATATATATATATATATATATATATATATATGCGTGTGTGTGTGTTTGTGTAAGTTCGATACAATATATATACCCATGTTTAAGTTCTAAACAACATATATAGTCTTTAATTGAATCTTCATAATTTGATTTTCACGAGTTAATAGTGAGAGAGGAAAAATAGCTCACTATTTTTTAAATTAAAAAAAAAAATATTTATACGTGATACCTAAAACTTGAATTTTAAATTTCTATTCAATATCCACTTTTTCTAAAAAGCTACAAAAGACAGATCATCAATGCTTGAAGAATAGGAAGAAAAAGAAGTGTGCAGTGTTTCTAATTTTTTTGTTTAAAATAATAACAATCTAGTTCTTGCTTGTATTCCTTATTTGACGATGAAGAATATTATCGTTTCAAATAGAGTTGTTATTTTACTAAGCAAAGCTTAGTTTAGGGCAAGTCCATAAATAAGGGTTTACACCAGGGCTTAAAATCGTTTTTTTTTCTTTACCATGGAAAAATTTTCCACCATCCACCTGTGTAGTAAATATTCAAAAGCCTATAAAATTTATTTGGTAAAAGTTTTTTACTGGTTCTTATACTAATTTTTGTAATGTAGTAATGTAATATTTTTTTCCAGCAGCATATGTTTAAACTTCTACTAAATCTTCTACTAAAACTAAATCCTACAAATACTTCCACTTGCCCACCATTTTCTGTTCAGTTGCTTATTGGCCACACCAACAGTTGAAATCGCATGACGGTGGACGATATCGCTCAGGTTGAGAAACTCTGGTCTACATTGAGAATCGAACTTACTACTCAATAGTTCAAACAGACTATCTCGCTAACGCCGAACCGCCTCATATGTAAATATAGAGATATGCAAAAGTGTTTCTTTCGTCAAGTAAAACTGACAGTCAGCTTATCTCTTCTGCTTGACGGCTCAAGAGAAGCAGATTTTAATCTTTCATTCCTCTCTTTGTTTTATCGACGGAACGAAAGGGGAGTGCTTTTGTATTTGGCGATGTTCATAGAAGATTTTTCTTATCTTTCTTTTCAATCCGGTGATTTGTATTTAATTTTAATATTGATGATTTCCCTTTAGTTTTCTCGCCTTTATCACTTCGTATCCGTCTCTTGAATAAAATGGCCGATTTTCAGCTGCTCCTACTTACTACATATTCCTCATTAGTTCGAAACCGGGTGTTCCCATCTATGGTTTGCTTGCATTCTCCAGATGACTGATACCCTGGGATTGATCATTTTTGTTGTTGTTGTTGTAATTTTTAATCCTTTCCCCTGAATGCAGAATGCTACAAGAAATGAAAGATTGATTTGATTTGTTTCTTTTTACGGTTTACCAACCCTTTACCGATTATTTAAAGTCAGAAAATATTTTTTTAATTGTAAGAATGTTTTGGAGGTGATGATTTACTGAGGTAAGTCTTATTTTTTGTTATGGTCCGGTTCCTTGTACCACGGTGATGGTCCAAGGTAGAACCAATAAAGAAAAACTCGAACACGGATATGGAATAACACAGATATATTACAAACAGGAATATATACAGAGAAGTAGAAAGTGTTAGTACGAACAATCAGGTTTAGTAGGGAGAACAATGTAGTCTCGACCAGTATCACTATTCCAATGTCTTGCAGTAATTGTCTGAACGCGACTCTGTTTCGGACTGCCTCTGACTCGACTGACTCCTGACGGACTTCTGATGGACCTCACTCCAGACTTCAAACTGACCGGTATTTAGTCACCCCCGCCCACGAGGGCATCATGAGGCGCAAGGCCGGATTAACGTGGGATCTCCGAGCCCGTGGGCTCGGCCAAAAATATGGCCTTTGAATCCGTATAAACGGGTTCAGGGTCGGTTTACCTCATCGAAAGAGACTCCGCTCTTCGGCGTAGCCTCGTTCGGGTTCCTCCCCGCCCGAAGGCAGAGAGTTCAACCGATCAGCCGGTCAGCCGGTCGCCCGACTTCAGACTGAACGGTATTTAGTCAACCCCCCCCGAGGGCATCATGTGGCACAAGGCCGGTTTAACGTGGGATCTCCGAGCCCGTGGGCTCGGCCAAAAATATGCCCTTTGAAACCGTATAAACGGGTTCAGTGTCGGTTTACCTCCCCGAAAGAGACTCCGCCCTTCGGCGTAGACTCGTTCGGGTTCCTCCCCGCCCGAAGGCAGAGAGTTCAACCGATAAGTCGGTCAGCCGGTCGCCCGACTTCGGACTGAACTCCCTGCTTCCTCTTGAGGCGTAGTATTTATTACGTATGGAATAGTCTATTATGTTATTATGGGTAAGGTCCCATAACACTCTAGTATATTGTTGTCATAATCAAATAAAGCGACGAACACTTATATATAAAAATACATGAATATTTTTATTGTTAAAGTTTCGGCGAATGGGTAGAGTGGGGGAGAATCACAGAGATTAGGACTGTGCACACAGGAAATGACGGTGACAAATATTCTATCCGGATCAAAAATCGGACCTGTTTTATAACATTTGGACACCTACGCAAATTCACGTGGATACGACTACTTCCGGTATGTCGCCTACGTAACTTCGTGTGGCCACCCCTCTACCGGTATGCGCCCACTCAAACACGCATTGCCTTCCGTTAAAGGATATCTCAAAGCACCGTTTATTCAAAACCCAGTACACCTATACGTCCTGTTTATTTTAGCCACCGGATGCATTTCCTGTTTACGCTATCACCAGTTCCGATTTCCCCTCACGCACAAATGCAGTGGATGTAAGGCCAAATATCTTTCCTCTAAGAATACCTAAGGGTATATGCGCGTAAGCAAATATAACGAACCAAACTTGAATTGAAACACGGCTCCGATTACTAATTCTGAGCTGTTATCACTTAGTCAACACGCATATCTAAGCTTACAGCACCTGATATTCCTAATTGGTCAACCATCTAGGTACTGACCAGGCTCGACGTTACTTAACTTCGGTGATCGGACGTGAACTGGAGTTTCGACATGACATCGCCGTAAATCAGGGAGTGAAAGAAAATGGGAAGTCTTAATGAGGATGAGTGAGAAAAGGATAATAAAGAAACAGGCTGCAGGTAAATTAACGATGATGATTGACATTGTATTCAATTTTTTTTTTTTGGCGGGGAAGAAAGGAGTCTGTCCAAATGTTCTATAGTTCCGATCACTTTCGGCTAATACTTTTAGCCATGATCAAGGATGATTTTATTTTTTCAAAACCGATTACTCTCCTGGCAACAACCACAATAATATCTTAACAACAAAACTAAACTACGCCGGAAAAGAACTAAAAAAACAATCCTAACATCGTCATCAGAAGAGCTGACAACGCTAATACATACGTAATTTTAGATAAACCTGATTGTTACAAATTCATGACGGTCCTCTTCGAGTATAGAATCCAGAGGTTGGCAGTGAATATTTCGGAGACAGTAGGAAAGCGTAGTTCAGGTTCGCAGTGGATATCGTAGCAGAGCGTAGTTCATCCTTCTCCTGGTCGCCTGACAAGTTGGCTCTGGTCATTCCGGTAGGGTAAACAAAGATGGCCGCCTTTATACACGACGGATACAATGTTCTGCGGCTTCTGATTGGTTAATCTTCTATTGGTAAACTATAAAGGAAATTAAGTCATTTTGACTCGCTCACTAGTTATGTATAAACCCAAAAAAACTGTAACACTGATTACCATAAAAAAAACATAATTACAAAACATTATCGAACTAAATCTTCCAAACTGAATAGAAACCCCACGGAGACCTTAAAAGTTTAGTTAGCAAACTAATAACAGCCCACAACGTGGAAGTAGGTTCCCTGAAAATAAAAATAAAAATAATTGGAGACTACCAACCTGGGTATTTATATGGAAATATAAAACCCCATAAACCCGGATACCCGCTACGTTCAATCATTTCCCAGATCTCAACGCCTATCTACGAGCTATCAAAATTTCCATACCTACCCACCAATTAAAGTATCACATCCACCCACGAATTCTTCCAATTTTTAGAAACTAATAAACCAAACCAAGTTATCATAGCGTCACTTGACGTCGACAACTTATTTACAAACGTCCCCATCGATCAAACCATTGATTATTCTCAATTCTGTGTATACTAATAATTCTATTCCTCCACCAGACATCAAACCATTTATACTCAAAAAATTACTACACGCATGCGCAACCAAAGTCCCATTATATGACTATAATGGCAACATTTACACCCAAACTAATGGTGTTAGTATGGACAATCACCTCGGTTCATGATTTTCAATTTATTATATGTCCCATGTAGAAAATATCATATTTAAACAGGTGTGTAAAAAATATATGTCTGCCACGTAGACACTATTTTTATTTTAGCAGATAACACTAAAGAAATAGATACACGTAAGATCACATTTGAGAAGAAAAACTCTGTCCTTAAATTTACCTATGAACCCCATTTTTAGATGCTCTCGTAGAATATATCAATAACACTTTTATTACCTCATTATATAAAAAACCCACTAGCAGAAACTCTTGCCACCTTTACTTTAAAAGTGAATGCCCACTCAGATAAAAAATAGCAGTAATAAAAAAAAGAACTTCCCAAAAAGAGCACATGAGAATTCATCCTCTCGACTCCTCTTCCTTAAAGAACTCAATTATGCAAAACAGGCACTAATTAACAATGGCTTCCCTAACCACCTTATAGACCACTAAATTAGACTATTTCTCCCAAAGTAAATAATAATGATAATGATCATACAATCAGAAATTACATATTTTCGACAAAAATTTACATTAACTAAAAACAAGGTGAATCTTCAGTTAGAAATATTATGAAGATACACCACCTCAATCGACCCAAATAAAAAAAAATTAAATTAATTATCTACTATAAAAAATTAAGACCGCTAAACTTATCCTCAAAAACAGCAACACACCGACTAAGTCAAAATTACAACGATCGAACATTATCTATGAGTTCAAATGCCCCTTAAGGAACTGTGTTTCTGATCAAACTGAACACATAAATAATTACATCGGTCACACAACTACATACCTATCCAGACGCCTTACCTTACACCGATCTGACCAGAGCTCCTTCAGAACTCATTTAAACACACACACAAACTTACTAGACGCCATTCGAAACATACTAGTAGAAAACACAAACATAATAACCTCATCCACTTGTAAAAAAGGATTAAAAATAGTGGAAGCCCTAATAATAAAAAGGAAAAAAGCGAACTCTTAACAATATTAACTAGGAAATAGGACACCATGTGCCAACTGTGTTCGGAAAATAAAACACCTGCATAACCCACTAAAAACATACACATAATGCACACACTCAATTAAACTGAAGAAAAATCATCCTTGATAATGTCTAAATGTATAGCCGAAAGCGCTCGGAACTATAGAGAATTTTGGACAGTTTCTACACACTTTGTGTCAAGAAAAGAAAACTCTAGTTCGAACACGAGAAAAAACTAAATAAAAAGCTTAACCGTAATACCTTGTGTGTCGTTTTTAATGATATATATAAGGCAGGAGGATGTGTGTGTGTGTGTGTGTGTGTGTGTGTGTGTGTGTGTGTGTGTGTGTGTGTGTGTGTGTGTCTGTAATGAATGCACGGCCGCAATTTTCGACGGATTTCATCAAAATTTACATGCACATGCACCAAGTTAGCGGGAACGCCAAGACCGACGTTGCATTTCCCAACTACCATCGATAGTGGAATTTTGTCATGCTTCTACGGCAGTTTTCATGTAGTGTGCGGCCATTATGTACTGGCCAGAGTGAAAGCCAATAGCTGGCTGCCACGAACATGCAGGAAGATTCTACTGGCCAGCGTGAGAGCCAACAGTTGACTGACACGAATGTTAACTAGCATGCTAGCATGCAAAAAAATCGATAGCTGCATTCGTCACAAGTGGGAAAATTTAAGTCTGCACGGCACTTTACTCCAATTGGCTCATTCGCTTGCTTACACTCAACGTTGATTCTGATTCTGCAGAACTGGGTTGGGTATGAAAAAATATTTGTTAACATCTTTTTTCATTCGGTTTTTCCAGCTACGAGTTCGTTTTTTAAAGCTGATCGTTTTGTGTTCATTTTGTTTAGTTCTTTTTTCGTAACAGATTTAATGTTTAGTATAGAGCTTAGACAAAAGTTCGCAGTGTGAAATAGGCAAGAAGTAAGGCATGTAACAACATCAGCACGGCAAAGGGCACTCCTTTAAAGGCAAGGAAGGGCAAAAATATTTTATGTCAAGTGATGGCGATTGCTGTATGAGTCGTACGATTTTTGAATCAAGCACGAGCAACGCCGGGCTATGCTGGTAGTACACAGATGCACCATAACTAAATACGCATAGAAAGTAGAAAAATGAATTTATCGAAATAAATCCCATTTATTCATTATAATGGATGAAAGAAATTATTCGTACAATAAAAAAATGAATACATAATCTCCATTTAATACTTTGTAGAATAACCATTATTCAGTTCTACAACAACTAAACTCTGCTTGTAGTTCTCAATTAGCGATTTGCAAATTTTAGTTGGTATTTTGTTCCATTCATCTTTGCATATGGTCTTTAGTTCAGGATATTTGTTGGAGCTCTCGATTGGATTGGATTCTCAAATAACGGAACAGATTCTCTATTGGGATTAAATCTGGGGACTGACTTGGCATTTCAGGACATATATATTATTTTCAGCAAGACATTTCTTCGTAGATTTTGCAGTTTACTTAGGACCATTATCTTGCTGGAACATGCATTCAGGAGGTAGTTCAAGATTTTCAACCGAAATCATTAAATTTTCTTCCAAAATTTTTTGATAAGCTGCGGCATTTATACTATGAACCTTTTGCAGAAAACCATTCCAAACCATGATGCTGCCACCACCAAATTTCACTGTTGGAACTGTGTTCTTTTATTTGAAGGCATCACCATCTTTCCTCTATACGTCATTTCTTGTATTAAGTCGAAACAACTTAATTTTGGTCTCGTCTGTCTCAATAGGATTTTGTTTATGCTTACGTTCACGTACTAATTTCAACCTGGTTCTCTGTGTCTTTTCAATAGCAGTGTAATTTTCCGAAGGGTGCCTGTCTTTAGATTGTTCCTATGAATTTCATAGTTTATTGTCCGTTTAGTGACACAGATTCCTGGTGAAAGCAAATCATCCTGCAACTCTTGACGAGTAACCAATAGAATTTTGTTTGATTTGACGCATTAATCTATGGAGATATCGTGTAAGCACCGAAGATGTTTTATGAACATGGAAACTAAAAGTACATTTATTCTCAGAATCAAAAACAATCAGCTGACATTTCTTGCGCATACGATGAAGAAGTAGGTCGTGGAGAATTTGACAATCCCAGTGCATACAGAGGGCAAGAGAGACAGCGGGATAGAGGAAGACATAGCGTAATCTATCAGATGAGCTTGTGTGCCTGAAGGATGGCTAAAGACCACACGGGATTAGAAGTTGTAGAAAGATCTGAGTGTAAATGGCGTATAGAAGAAAAAGAATTATCTAATATCATTATTCTCATATATATATATATATATATATATATATATATATATATATATATATATATATATAAATAAAGAAAGAAAGAAAGAACAGTAAGATATATAATCCGGTGTTTTTATAGATATTTTTATTTTTACAAAATAGTGCTCAATGTAAATTTACAACATCTCTATGCAAAAAGTTCCATGTTTTGAGAGCTTCAAATTCTCCCTCATCAGGCGAAATTAGATAACATATGATGGATATATATATATATATATATATATATATATATATATATATGTATGTGTGTGTGTGTGTGTGTTTGTGTGTGTGTGTGTGTAAGCAAATATATGCATATGGATCCGACAGTATGAAGAAAAATATACGTATATTTTTCTTCATATATATATATATATATATATATACAGAATGTGAGAGATAGATAATTAAATAACTAATAATTTGAAAGAAATTACACGCTTGT